GGGGGGGGTGACTTAGTAAGAGAAGTGATCAAGTCTAGTTCTAAAAAGCTGGTCCAGTCCACTTCATCCATCCATCAGCAGCAGTTACATAAAACCAACTGAGTCACTCCTGCAACCTGCTAAGCAGTTTCTAATGCAAGTCAAATGCATTATGTATGAATATTGCCAGAGTCTATTTTTTTTCCTCCAAAATCAGATCCGGCCAGGGCTTTTAGTCAAATCAGCAAGCCTTCCTGTAGCAATTTGCATAGTGCAGTGGATTGCTGGCCACCAGTGTAGGCAGCTGTGTGACAAGTCAGTGAAATGGTCCTCTCAGGGAAACCTTTTCTGGTGTTACAGCGGCAGAGTGTAAGACAGCAGAGCATGTAGATTAATGTTTTTGCCTTGGATGTGTGCTTATTTTCTTTTTAATAAAACAGTCCAAACTGTCTTTTATGTACAGTATGTTAAACCTCTAATCGTTTCAACCAAAACATGCAATGTAAAAATCATTATTATTGCCTTTCTTATTAACTTTGGCACTATTGACAACAGACACACCGAAACACATTTTTGTCAACTGACCACAGTTTTTAAAATTTGTCCATTAGTGCAATTTGATCTGGGATATAAAGAAAAATACATACATTTTTATACACACATGACTGTTTATTATTTATTGTTACATAAATATATGAGATCAAAGAATTAACCAATGTTCATGTAACTGTGCTTAATTTTTTAAAAATTATGACTACCAGTCTCAGCAGTATCACCCTGCATTTGACTCTATGTCTATCTAAAAAAAAAAAATGTAAAAACAAAAATAATATTGAAGTTCAAACTAATGTACCGTGGGACAAGATGAGAATTATCGCATGGACAACATTTTAAAATCAGAAAACTTTGTTGAAATTGATTGATGGGTTTTTAAAACATTAGTCTTCAAAGTTTTTTGTATGCATTCACATCATTCTGCTCAGTGAGTCTTCTGAAACTACACTGCATTAAAACTTATTCTGATTCCACCATAAACAGGCCACATCCCAAGAGTCAGGCCCGCCAAGAAACCACCTGAAATTGTTTTGAAAACTGCGGTGCACTCTGGGGAACGTTTTGGGCCTGAAAGACACTTTGAAATGCCAGAAATGCATGAGACGCAATATATCAAAAATAAAAAGGTGTTCTACCAGTTAGTAGTGAAAACCATTAAAGGATTCAATTCAATTAAACAGTCATCTAGAGATAATTAGAACTATGACCTGCAGTCTTTGATAATTACAGGAAAACAACTGCCAATATAAAGCAAAAAATCTGACATATTTCCAAGTAGGCATTTTTCTTCTCTATTTCTATTTCTCCATTCTACTCCACTCACCTCTTACACCTACTCTAAGCAGTTAGCCCATGTCCCTCTGTTATTAAAATGTGACTCTATAATACGAGTCAATTACAGGCCAGGATAATCTATGCCAGAAAATCATCACTGTCACAGTTATTATTATGGGTTGCTAATAAACGGTGACAGCATGAACATTATATAACAGCCCTTTCAAACCACAATAATACAATGTACATCAACTTGACACTGCTTTCTGTGCATTGATATGCAATTCATTGATTTATGTCAGCATAGAAAGTAAACTCTACACAAAAAAAAAAGATTGCTGGATGGAGTTAGGTGTGTCTGCTCCACTATATCCCTGCTCTTTACTGGGTGTGAATTAGGTGACAATGCCCAGATAGAAAGTGGAACTGCTAGGATTTGATTGTCCAGCCATGTGTACACAGCTCTGTGAATTTAATGACAGGCTTAAAAATTGACGGATCCTCCTCTTGGCGAGATCAATTTAATCCACAGAGTTCAATTTGTCACAGTGAGAAGCTGCTATGTTTGCATCTGTTGTGTGACTCGAAGGGGTCGTGAAAAAAAATCCCGGAACTGAAGGCTGCGTGTCCACACATCTAGTACAAAGGCTAAATGTGACACACCCCCACAAGAGTCTGCAGCCAGTGTAAAATGTGATAGCGGAGTTCAGAATGTACTGAATGTTCCGGTTAAAGGGGTTGGGGGAGTTACATTTGGTGTTGGAAGGATGAGAGTCAGCTGGGAAATCAAGATTGATAGAGATCATTAATAAGCAACTGGCTGGCTTCTAGTAGAACTTCCATTCCCACAGAGGGACAAGAGGCTGGATGAGACACACACGCACTCACAGAGGCCATGGATCATAAAGCAGCCACCTCTATAAATTGATTCTTTCAACAAGCTGAGCTCGATGAGAAAATCCATTTCCAGGCATGGTTAAACCCCTCATTTTGTAGCTGATCAGGAGAGAAAAACAAACATCGACTTTAATATACACTCGTCCTAACAGTGCCCGTACGATGATCATAAAAGTGCTTCAAGTTCAGATGCATTAGAAGGCTGGAGAAGCCATCGCTGGCGAACACCCAAGTGGAGAAAAGAAGAAGAAAAGATAATAAGCGAGGAGGCTTGCTAAGTGCAGGGCTTCCTTTTCCAATCCATTAGCAGGTTTAATGAATATCCCTGGTTTTCCTTTCCTCCACACTAGAACAAAAAAAGAGACACACATCCACTAATGGACATTTTAAGAAAGATTCAGGGGGAAACCAGGAACAAACATCAACTGTGGCCATCGATCAAAGTTTGTAGAAACAAAAACTAAATGGATCTCATGATGGTCAAACATTCACTTGGATCTAGCATCGATGACAGCAGCACTAATTACACTGATGATGTCTAGTTGTTAAAACAGCGACGGCTTTCCATACATTCAGCCACTAAGGCAGGTCTTTCCTTGCACAGGATGATGGAACCACAAACATCAGGCATACTGATGTATGGAACTGTAATGGGCCTCTGCAGATTTGAATTAGATCTATCTATAATCCAATCTTGCACCATGTGACACGATTAGACAAGAGACAAATACTTGTGCGTCTTGGGAGCCTCATGAGGAGGAGGAAGTGTGCGAGGAGTGGGTGAATTATTCAAATACCTGGTTTCCAAACAGGTTGAATCCATTGATGGCCTCCAGAGCAGCTTTAGCCAGGCCCACAGAGCTGCAAAGATAAGAAACATTGACAATTACACAACATACAATAAGCAGATCTCACTGACATTGATGCCCTACAAGCCGGTGGGAATGAAAATCGTGTAACAGATATGTTTGTGTGATGAAGGCAATGATAGTAACCACGAGCATCTTTCAATTGTCAGCAGCCCAAAAAAACAAAAAAGCATTCAGACTCGCACTTGAATCTTAAACTGCTATCTGTTAGGATTCAATAAAGCTGTGGGCTCCTGACATTGTGGTCTACTGTAGATAATGGCTCTCTTTAATAAAAACCTTATACTGAATTTCACACTGGCTGGCTACTGTGATTGCAATGCAGACTAAATGTGAATCAATTTCACTGTCATTTTGTTTCCCTTTCTGCCCTGCCAAGATTTCCCTAGAAAAAAAAAAAGTGGAGGGAAAATTGCCGGAAACTTGGTGATGACTGGCGGCAGATCTGCTGACATATCAAAACGCATTCAATTCCATTAGTGAGGCCTGAATCGATGCTTAAAATACAGAGGATGGCTGGCTAATTCAGCCTGGAGAAGAGCTTGGTTGAAACTAGTTTTGTATAACACACAGGCACACAAATACAAAAACGTCCAGCACTGGTCAGCAAGGCTGTCAGCACCCCGCACAGACATAGAGGAGATATGATGCTTGGTGGGGAAACAGGCGGTTAAAAAAAGCAACAGTGGGAAACAGGAGCAAAACAGCACCATGATGCAATAGTTTTAGTTGACAGTTGGAGAGAAAGATTTGCATGATGAAAATGTTACTGTCTGTTAGTCCATGAATTCATACGGTAGACTGCACAACAATATTCTGTTGCTCTTGCACTAAACGTGTTTACATACAGTATAGTTCACATCCCAGTTGAGGTTATATTGGGTGAACTCACCCACCTCATCCTCAGTGTATTGTGTATGTACCCTGTCTCTCCAAGTTTACTGTGCGTTTATTTAGCAATTATGGATCATGTGACAAAAATATCAACTGAGGCTATCACAGCATTAAGTGGAAAGGAATCAAAGTCATCAACCAGGACTCTTTGGACAGCCACTCACAGCAAAATACAACCACTTTATCCCCTGCTCCCTCTCTACGCTCCTCTCCCCCTCTATTCCCATTTTCTCCTCTCTCTCTCTCTCT